GTATCGGTCTTGTTTTAGGCGGCTCGGGAGTTTCTTCACGGCTTTGGCTGCTTCGGGGTTCAACCCTGGTTACCGGCATCACGTCGGGGACTGATGGGCAGCGGCTGCCGGGGCGGGACTGGCTGGGGGGGGGCGGGGGGGGCCATGCCTGCCATCTCTCCCGGAGCTCAGCGCCCCGCTTCACCTCTCACCACACTCAGCGGTGCGAGGGGCCATGTGAAAATACATATGTGTGTGTGATTGAGCGCCTTTGTAAACGTATTCATGTGCATAGGTGTGTATATACATACATACACACATGTAATGTACATGCAAAATATATATAATGTGCATATATAGTATATATGTGTGCTATATATACTTATGCATGTGTGTGTATGATGCATGCACACATGTGATGCAGGTGCGTTTTCTCCCTTTTATCCAGCGCAAAAACCTCAGGGCAAAGTGATCGGGGGAATTAATGGCGATGCTGTGGGTCATGGTCGTGACCCGGGCCCCGATGGCAGCGGGGTACCGGGTGAGGGTACGAGGGGCCCCCCAGGAGCCGCGGGGTCACGGCTGGTGCACCAAGCGCATACGTGAGCCACGGCAGGTTATGGGGCAAGGGAGCCCTGGGTCTCCTGGTCACTTAGAGAGGTCGGAGGGGGAGCGGGCCCAGGCTGCCACAGCAAAGGGCCACCGCCCCCGGCTCCCCCCGCCCCGGCCTCCTGTCCCATGGCAAGTGCTAATTGCGGCTCTTTTCTGACTCCTCTGTGTTTGGGTCCCTCGGAGGGCGCTGCGCGGGAGGACACGTCACGGATACTTTATCCCCTCCCCTCTGGAGGCTCTCCTGGCTTTCTGCAGCCTTTGCTAAAGAATTAACAGAGGGGTGCACTTCAGAGCTCCTTCTGCCCCTGGAAAAAAAAAGAAGGGGGGGGGAAGAAGAGGGAAAAAAAGCGGAGATATCGGTTCTTTCAGGCGAGGAGCGTGACGGCTAAGATTTCCGAGAGGAAGAGAATTTTACCTTCGATCCTTGCCGCATGGTGAGGATCGCTGCTCCTTGCTGGAGGTGAATGTAGCAAACCCTCCTCTTGCCTTTGAAAGGAATGCCTGTGCGAAAGAGCCACCGCTTTGCTCTTTAAATACATGACAAATAATAATAAGAATAATAATAAAGAAACAATTCTCGATCTTGCAAATTCTTTTTCTTTAAAAAGAGGGGGAAAAAAACTCAAAACAACAATAAATAAATCCAACGAAATCAGACCCACGCCTTTGCCAGCTCTCGGACTTGTTTGGAAAAAGACAACGCTGCAGTGGCACCGGTCCCGAGGAAAACGGATCCTTTAATTTGACTCCGCATGAGAAGCACATTTGGAGCTGGGCGCAGCGGCCGGAGCAGCCCCGCGGCCAGCAGCCCCCGGAGTCCCCAGCCTCGCCGGGCTCGGCGTCCCCCGCGCTGAAGCGGCCCCTGGGCGACGAGGGAAAGCG